TTCAACATGGCGGACTCTTTTATTCAGGTGATTATACACTAATGAAAACACACCTATGAATATTATATTTTACATTTCTGCCAATAGTTCCTCCTCAATGTTACACACAGCAGCTTTAATACACAGTTATTATAAAATATCTGTTATAGCCAATAGAAGTTATAATTAACTAAAACTCTACTATTTTCTTTCACAAGGTCCCAGAACTATTAAGTTTATTACGTTTTATTAAGTTTATATCTACTAATGGAGGGACAAACTGTCAGGTTAATCAGGTTAGTTGGGGAAATGGCGCTCCACGAGTGATGTCACAGGTCCCTCAGGCGCATCTTTTGACCATCTTCAAGGCGCCGTTTGTAGTTTTTTTTAGCATAAGCGGAGAAACAAACTACAAACGGAGCTCAGCAGCCGAGCAGAAAGAGGTCCAGTGACGCCAGTAGAATGACTTTTTATTTACAGTCTGTTGAATAATTTTCATGCTAGAACGAGTTTGCTCTGAACTGTAAGAAGAGCGCAGTGTTGCATCGTGGGAAATGCAGTCCTGTCACTGCATTTCTTTCTCTTTTTGTAATTACCGGAGGCATGTCTCATTTTCTTCCTGTGGAAAGTTCATTGAGGCCAGCGAGGCAGTTTAACCTCTAACCACCAACGCCGAGGCAGGAGACGCTTAAGGCGAGGCCCTTGCTGTTGCCGTGCTGGGCTTAACGCGTTGCCATGACAACCACGTGATGTTAAAGAGTGTCAGTGCTGCAGAAGACGAAGATCCACTTCCTGTTTGAAGTGTTTGATTTTTTTTGTGTGTTGAGCAGATCATCTCTTTAGATAGACGGTCTGAGACTACGGCCTACACACTCTCTGCTGCTGCTTACATAACACACACACACACACACACACACACACACACACACACACACACACACACAGAGGACGGTAAAGTGATGCTGGAGGAAACAGAAACAGGAAATAAAAAGACAACTCACAGAGAGAGAGAGGGGGGGAGACTAATGAAAGAAAGAGAGGACAGGTGGGTGGGACAAAATATTTAAAGAAAGGAGAGGAAGATAAGAAATGAGGAAAGAGGGAGGAGAAGGAAAGAGGGTCAATAAAGAAAGATCAAAGACAGGGAATGAAAGGAGGCTAGGAAAGGATGTGAGAAGAGGAAGGAAAGGGATGGAGTAAAGGAAAGGGGAGGAAAGGAAGCAAGTGAGGAATAAGGGAAGGAAATGGTGTGAGGAGATGAGTAAGGAGGAAAGAAAAAAATATGAAAGAGGTGAATGGGAAGAGAGAAGAAGCAAGAAGGCAACTGAGGATAGTAGGGCAGAGTAAAGGATATAAAGAAAGGATGGAAGGCGAGAGAATGGAAAGGACAGACGGCAAACAAGGAAGAGAGGGAAGGAATGACGAGATGTTAGAAGGAAAGGACGCAAGGGAACAGAAGGAAGGAAACGAGGGATGAGGAAGGAGATGAAGAGAAGAGGGAAGGACGAAAGGAGGCAAGGAAAGGGAACAGAGGGAAAAAGGACAGAGGGGTAAAAACGAGATGAAGGAAAGGATGAAATGAATGAGGAAGAGGAAAAGAAGAGGAGGAAAGGAATATAGGTAAGGAACGCAGAGAGGAGAGAAGGAAAGAAAGGTGAGAAAAGGAAGCAAATGAGGGATGAGGGAAGGAGTTGACAGTACGGAGGGAAAAAACAAAAAAGGAGAGGAAGAAGAAAAGAGGAGGAGGGCAAACGAGGAAAATATAGTAGAGGAGTCAAGGAAAGGAAGAGAGGAGAGGAAGGAAGGAAAGGAAAAGAGTGAAGGAATGTAGACGGAGGAGGAAAGGAAATAAAGAGACGAACGGATGACAAGAGGGTAAAAAAGGTAAAGTAGGTAAAGAAGAATTTGTCACGACTTTTAAAGTTAAAGAACCGGCAGCAAGTGAGCGACACACACACACACACACACACACACACACACACGGCTGCAGAGAGAGAGAGAGAGACTCACCCAGAACATCACCGACTCGTTCTCCATGATGATAAACTGAAAAGAAAAAAGGAAGGACTGATGGAGAGAGAGAGGGAGAGAGGGAGAGAGATGATGGAGGAGAGAGAGAGAGATGATGGGAAAAAAAGAAGAAGAAGAGGAAGAAGAGGAGGAGGAGGAGGAGGAGGTGCATCTGGAGCGAAAAGAGAGAGAGAAGA